AATTAGTATTAGTATTTAAGATGAATTTGATGTAATATTTGCCACAGAGACAAGTAATCACAGAAGTAGAGGTGAGAGCTTAAAAAAAATAAATAATTTTGTTAGATCTAAGATTTTTAATTAAGCAAGAAGTCAGTTTGACTTTGAGAAGAATTGGATAAGCATGATTGTCACTTTCTTTTTCATAGAGAACAATTCCAAAACTATTAAAAAAGTTTTGGTAAAAGTAATTAAGATATGCTGTATTAGACTCTTAGTTAGTTAGTATAAACATTTTTGGTTATAATAAATTGAATAAATGTTGACAAAAAAAAAAAACTTTGAAAATTTTAAGTTAAAAATTTGGTCAAGTAATTATTTTACAAGAGTAGTAGATAGAAACAAGAGTTGTATAATTAGAGTATTATAGAAGTAATACTGGAGTATAACTATAATGGTTGGGATTACAGATGTGACTCAGATACTGGTACAAATAAGGTTTGTAATATAAATTTCTGTATACAATTAATAAGAACCAAAAATAGGAATAACTAGATTGTGTCAATAAGTTTCTATTAATAGACTGGTTACAAAATTTTGGTATAAATTAATAAAGTATTAATTGAGAAATAATAGTATAGTTACATGAAAATTGTGTAAGAAAAAAGAGAATAGGATATAGCTAGGAAGTAAGAAAAGAAGTTTATAAAAGAATAAAAAATGAATTTAGCTATAATTTAGCCAATATTAGGTCAAAATTCTTTCTTTAAAGCTTGTTTTGATCAGACAAATATGCACTACAACTTTAATTAAGGGTGTGATACAAGTTATTGCAACAGCAACAGCATAAAATAGACTTAAGAAAGAAGAAAAAAACAGAATCCTATTATAAGGCATTATTTAGAGAAACAGAAACTAAAGAAATTATAAACAGAAAAGTGCTAATAAAGAGACTCATGACATAAAAAGTTGAAACTGCAAGAGAGTTAGTTTTCTAAAACTGAAGGTCAAAGGCCATCAGTATGGTTTTCTTTATGAGTTTAAGAGCTAGATCTGTAATATTTTAAGAATATATTTAAATCACTGAGCTGAACAAGTTTACATAATATGTTAGAACAGGTTAACTTAGTAAAATAAAAAGCTATAAGCATTTTTAGATAGATAGTTTTTTAGTTAATTTTTATGCAATGGATTTGCAGAAAAAGTTTATCCTTATACATATTTCCAATAAGTAAAACATTTTTTATTCTCTATAATGCAATTAAAGTTTTGCATTATATATATATGCATAAGTTTTTAAAATCATATATATTAGATATATTACTAATTTCATTTTAGTTAAATGTGGGCTTAAGATAAATGCTAATAACTTAAATATTTGCTTAGTAATTAAAAGTAGATCAGAATTATAATATAATAATAATAAAAATAATTTAAATTAATAATGCTAATATTTCAAAAATAGTTAATTCATTTTCAATCAGATAGTACTTAAATGAATAGATAGAACTATAATAATTGTAAATATCTTAAGAATTGCTGATTAATTTTGTTGATTTAAGTCTTAAATGATTGCTGTGATTTATAGCATTTGTTTGATTATATGTAGATTTAGATCTGGATTTAAGGCTAAAAATTCTTATAAACTATATTGTATAAGTAAATATTAAAATTAAGAATCATTATAATAGAAAACTGCAATGCTTACTTATAACTCTAGCAAAGAATATTTATTGGTTATACTAATACTCTAACAGATCTTTTAAGATATGTCATACATATGTATATAGTAGGCTTAAAATTTACCTGTTTTCATATAACTAAAGATTAGTTTTAAATAGAATTATAAAGAAAAGTTTTTTAAATTTATATACTTACAAATTATACTTGTTACAATTAAGACTTATATATTAACAATAATCTAGAAACCTATTTAGTATTAGTGGTTAGTTATTAAATATTAATATTAATATTTTGATATTTGTTTAACAATAAGAACAATGTTAGTAGTAAGTACATAAATTAACTTTGTCTTAATCTAAGCTAACAAAAAAAAACAATGTAAATTAAAACAATAAAAAAAATTCAGAAAGTCAACCACATATGTGTATGTATTACATTTCATAGTCTAAACTAAATACATTATAAATCAATATAAATTCAAAGTAATAATATTGTAATACATAATTATGAATTAATTAGTATTCAATTTTCTGCTTTACAGATAGCTCAATTATGTTTTTTTTAGTCACAATTTTGATGTCTTTTTTTATTATCTTGAATTGGCATACCAGATTGTAAAGTTATATCAGGTTACTGAATATTAGTATTAGTATATTAACATTTCTTGTATGTGACTCTTGGATTTTGATAGTACTTTTTGCTTTGCCATAAGGTCTTTCTTTTTTGAGAAAGATAACAGAATTTGTAATTGTAATTGTTTCATCTTTGTTATCTTTATTTAATTGTTTGCTAAAAGAAATTATTAATATAATCCATTTAATTCATCATATGAGTTGGTGTTAATAGCAATGTTAATAGTTTATTTATTAATCCATATGCATAACCATATTTTGATCAAGCATTATTAATATTTTAAAGTACTGATGTATATAACTCATCTTTTTAAAATTGTATTAATGTTTAAAATTAAAGGTTGAATTAGTATTGATATAATTAACAGATAATAATTCAATACACAATAAGATAGGTTCATGTTGTGTTAAAAAACCTTGGTTGTTTACAATTTTATTATTACTATACTACCATTTGCTACATGACCAATATGCCATTAGGCATATAGAGAAGTTTGAAGAACCTTATAAAAATAATGGCATGAATAACCATGTATAATTAATATATTACAGATACATCTATGTAAACCATCTGAAATTAATATCACAAATTGATATTTTGTATTGCATAAAAAATTAACATGCCAAATTTCAAGAATCTTTGAGCTTTCAATTATTTTTAAAATGTTGGTTAATAAAATTTGCATCAATTAATAGTTATCTTCATGTGCTTTATTATTTATATTATCATCTGAATGTATCTAAATAAAAAAAATTTCAATATAATATTTTACAAATAAATAAAATAAAATAATTAGAATACTGCAGTTAAATAATATAAATTACTTAGTAAAAATTAGCAGAGAATTACTATTAATTATATAAATATTGAAATGCTGAAAGTTTCTAATCAAAGAAAAATGTTAATAACTTATAAAATACTTTATAATTTTAATAATTCTACAGTTATTAAGCCTAAAATGACTCATTCCATGATATTTGTTAGAAACTATAATATAAAAACTTTTTATTGCATTCAAACTTTATAGAAAACTATATTAACTTTTAATAATTTTTATGATTAAATTTATTACTTTTTATTATCCTTTAACTATGATTTACTTAAATGACTAAATAACTTACTTTTTCAATTAAGTTTTAATCTGTAATATCAAGTTTATAGACATTATAAAAAAAACATTCACACATTTGTTTACAAACATTTATTGACACTAATTCTATAAGGTATTCATTTACAATAAGATTCAAAAATTTAAAAAAGATTTTTAGTACAGTTGCAAGTCTGACAGTTAGTATTTGATGTTTGTATTCTTCTACTCAAACATATTTAGCTTTTCTATTAGACACATCCTGGATCTCCTTAACTAAATTTAATAAAAAAGAATTTGTTTCAATACTATTATAGATTTTTTTGTTAAAACCTTTAACTCTCTGTATACTATTTGCTCTAGTAGTAAATTAGTTGTTAATGTAGCAAATAGCTTATTTCATTTTACAAGGTTCAAACTAGAATTTAATATAACTGTTAGCAACAGATATTTTGATTTGAGAAACTTAAATCTATTCTCAAAAATATCAACAATCATTATATTTCAACATGTGTAAAACTCCTTACAGAATTCATTAAATAGAACTATATTTTTTAAGTTTTTTTTTAGATTAAGTTGATATAAAACAAACATAAACAATGCAAAGAGTTTAAAAACTCTGTCAAAATTGCATTTGACATTACTAGATCAGAATTAGTATAAACTACTTGTGGAGCCAAGTTACCAGTACATTTGTTAATCATATGAAGAGTCCAGGTAAAACTGTCCTCAGTTTCATCTTCTAAAAAGCAGCAACTACTAGATGAGTATAGTTACAATTGTCAATAACTATAAAAAAACAAGCAACCATATTATATTTATTAGTACATGATATGGTATCAAAAAAAATAATATCATAAAATCTTGTCCAAATAAATTGTTGTTCTGAAAAAAGCCAAATAAGGCTGTATAATCTTTATTCTGAACTATTATATTGTGCTTTTATGAACCATCTAGGGTCATTAGTTTTGAGGTTATAAATATGTAACAAAAGATTAAATGTATCCAATTCATTTTTAAAAGATATTTTTTTTTGACACTTTGTATAATGTTATATAAATTTTTTTGATATATTTTTTGATTCGAAAATTTATCTTTAAGAAGTTGTCCTATGTTACATGCTTTAGTAGTACTGTGTGTTATACAAAAATCAACAAATTCTAGCATGTTCTTATCAAACTTGCAATAACTCACAATTGTAGTTAATGGTGCAAATAATATTGAATAATTATATAAATTTACAACAGTTGTAAATATGACAAATAAAGAAGACTTAGACATGTTACTATTTATTTGCTACTCATATTTTGTGCTTTTTGACTTATAATTTTGTTGGTTTTCCAAGTTTAAAACTTTTTTAGGCTGATATTTGCTGGCATAACTACATTTCTAACTAACTTTGCACAAACCTGTACATTATCTTTAAGACATCTCTTAGTATACTTTTTTCAAATACTAAAACCTTGTTTTAATCTGTATAATTTTAAAAAGGCTTCAGCATCATTTCATATTTAAAAAGTTTGTTTATAATAAATCTTTAGCATTAGTTTATTTTTTTTATTAGAAGAATTATTATAAATTTTAATCCTATAAGATTTATAAAGTAGATTTATGAATGATGACTCTTTTTCAACTAGTTTATTTTCAAAAGAAAAATGGTTTTACTCTTCATTACTTTGTAGTAAAGCATAAGTATATATTGACAAGATGTTCAAACTTTTAACACAAATGAATTTTTTAAAAATTAAAATTTTTAAATTATTCTATAGGATCTGACAGAAGATTGCAATTTTAAACTAATAGATGATATAATGTTTATAGTAATAGAAGAGGCACATGTAATAATAATATAGCTATAGCTTTGATTATTTATATAAAAAAAAAGTAAAGTAATCATTATATAATTTTATATGCTTATAAAAGATAGTAGTTCTATCAAAAACAAAATAATCAATTAAAAATTCTGGTATTTGACCTAATAAAAATGTGACTTCTTTAATTAATCAACTAGTAACTATTATAAATTAAACTTTTAAGTAGAAATACCTTTATAAGCTTTATAAATAACTCATGAAAAAAGAATTTATATAAACAAAGCTATTTAAAAGTACTATTATTTAGTAAAAAAATCTACTTGTAACTAGGTAAAAAAAATTTATGTATTGTGCAGGTCTGCTTTATTTATATCAATTGCATATATAGTAAATAATGATCATGTTATATAAAAGCAATTTATGTACTACAATTAACTATTTCTTTTTATAATACATAATATAATTACATACATATGTTCTGTATGTATAACTAAACTCAGCAAATGTGTTATTATATTTTGTTACATATATATCATATGATTGACCAGAGGATTTCTCTTCTAGTTAAGCTTTATTATTATTATATTAATTAATGATAAAATTATAATATAATAATATAAATTTTATAACAAACTCTGATTTTAATTATTTTAACTTCTATTGATAAAAATTAATTAATTTTTTTTGGTTTTAATACATCATATATTTTTTTATAATATAAAAAAATACATTTATTATTAGTTGTTAAAATTATTAAAATATATAATAAATAATAAAAGTTAATATACTATAATAGATTATTTAAGTTATTTTTGTATATAATAATTAGACTTTAATTTTATTTTATTAAAAAAAATGTATCTATTAAATAAAAAATATTATTTATTTTAGATTAATAATTAATAAGAATAATAATTAAAAGATTAAATTATAATATTTTTAGATTAGTTAATTTTTAATTAATTATTGATTAAAATTAGAAAAAATTTTTTTTATAAATAGTAAAATATTATTAATAATGGATTGATAGTTATTAAAATATTTTTATAGAAATATAAATATTTACTAAATTTATTTATATTTTAAAAATAAACTTAAATAACTTACTAAATATATAAGTATATGATTTAAAAATAATATAGTGTTAAAGGTGATTAGTTTTTTTTTTTATAGTTTTATATTTGGAATAATTGAGGCAAGGAAAATGTGATGGATTGTCACTCGAGAATACCAAACATCACGATACATTGCACTATGGAAGAGGCAGAATGATTTGGCAAGGCTAAGGTGTAAGTGCAAGGTTTTGGTTTATTGCTAATGACAGTTTTTTTTATTATTAATATGATTGTTGACTATCCTAATTACCTTTTTTCTCTTTCTAAAAAAAAGGCACTTATATACAAGAATGGCACTCCACAAAAAAAGACAGCACAGAGGCCCAAGATCTAACATTTTCCTACTGAACTCAATAGTTTCAGATCCGTCATTACAATCGGGACCTTGAATGGCCTCATGCAGCACAAACAACTAGCCCAATCTGGCAGATCTACCCCAACAAACAGCTATAGTACCTGATTCTGCATTGTTACGGCATTGTTTCAGATAGGTGGCTTGGCTTACAAGTTTCTCGAGGTACAATCAATGCACAATCATTTGCTTGTTTTAGGGGCATTCTTACTGTAAGAGGGCATAGATCAGGGTGGCACTGGGTTAGAGCAACTTTGGTACCCGTTTTGCCTTTAACAATAGCATAATTATTAAAAAATAAGTGTTTATATAAGCAAATTAAGGACATATTTATTATCTACTAACTCTATAAAATGAAATAATACACAAAACAGAGTTATTAGCTGGATCTAATTAGCATATCAACTAAATCTTCATCACATTGTTCTAGAAGACTTTAATATACATAACTCTATACACAGTGCTTTTATCAAATATAAACTTATTAACTTTCTCAATTACTTCAATATGTATAATATTGAAACATACTTTAATAATATTCATCATATTTGATCTAACAATACTAGCAGCAGTCTTATTAATTACATTTGAACTAATCAATTTAATATCTAGTTTCTTCTTTTATATAACCTTAACTCAAGCAATACTAGCACTCTCAGTAATTATTTAATTCTCTTATTATCTTAGACTTTTTCAAATGCTTATAGCAAATTTTTATATTATCATACTAGCATATGTTGCAGAATTTTTAACTATAACACAATAACTTCTAACAACTGAACAGAATTTTCCAACCCTCTTGTATCTAATCTTAACTTTTATAATACTTTTTTTACTTCACAATGTTAAGAAAATATTGATATAACATGACACAAAATTGAGCACTCTTTTATTTATACTGCAATACAATTTATTTCTAATAAGATTAGTTATAAAAGAAGTTACAAACACTAATACATTTTATATAATACACTTACTTATTATTTAAAAAGCTTGTTTATTGAATTAAAATTACTAAAAAAACAAACAATCTACTAATATTCTTTCTATTAATATTTATATCAAATCTATTTATCTTTAATCACATTACAACCTTTAACTTATCTTCTCATTTAACTATATTAATAAACAGATTAAACAAGCAAATGATATTTGAAAACAGCTATACTATATATACAATATAGAAAACTTACTGCTTCTTCATTAACAAATTTAAAAAGCTTCAAAAAAAAGATATGAAACTCTTGTTTTACATTCTAAATATACAATTAACAGTATTTTTAATTATTATTATAAACTTATCTACTTCTTTAATATCAAACTTTCTGACCAACTTATTACTAAACCAAACTCTATTAAATAACAAATAAACTAGTTAATTAAGATCTTTATTAAAACTTTTGGAAACAATATTATCAATTACAATTACATATTAATTTAAAATAGTATTATTTACTTACTCAAACTATTACAACAGATGAAGTACTCAACACAATAATCCAACTTTCTAATAGCAAAGCTTTTGGTTCAGCTAGCATAAACTATGAAATAATTAAGTATATCAGCCCTATATGCATTCATGTTATTCTTGCTTTATTTAATTGCTGCCTCAATTCTAACTAAATTTTCAAACAATGAAAATGTAGCAGAATTTGTCCTATTCTGAAGTGCAACAGTTTTGATGAAAACCTTAATCTAACAAGACATATAAGCCTTATTGAACATATTTGAAAAGTCTACATAAAAAATTATTATAAACAGATTTAATACTGTTTTTACACAACACTTAATTCTTTTACTATTTAAATATGTTGCTCTTTCTGGCAATAGCACTTCTATTCCTATTCATATTTTCAATAATTTTATTAAGGATGCCTTATGTAATAACAAAAAGATTTGGCTTCTATCTCAGAAAATAAGTAAGGCTTATAACTCTGTTAACTTTACTCTTCTTAAACAATTACTTGTTTGACTTTTCTTATCTTTACAGATTATAAATATAATTATAAACATATTTACAGATAGGCACAATTAAGTTATTATCAATCTTGGCCTTATCTTATTTTATTCTGTCTATAATAGTATCAATTAAGATGAAACCATTATACACCTACTTTGGAAAATTTAATTGATCCTTTCATAATCCAAATTTATTTACAATATATAGGCTACATTATGCAAACTTCTTAAATTAGGTGTGTAGTGACTTAGTAAAGTGAATAAGTTGTCATTTCCCAAGTAGTAGATTGTTAGTTCAAAACCCACTAATGGCAAAATTTGGATAAACACTTATATAATATATAGATACATTACAGTAATATATTTCTATTAATCAGTTAATAAGATACCTGTAACTATAGTCATATTAGCATAACTGAAAGGTTATGGAACATCTGTGTAATTTTGTTTATAAAGAGAAATGCAATCTAATATTAGGCAGTACAAACCTAAAATAAGTTCCTATAGCTATGTAAATTTATAAAACTGGGAAATATGAGTTTACTTAAAAATTCTAAGCAAAGAGGCAGCACAAATTTTTGATAATATTGCTGTAAAAGCTAGACCTAGGAAATGGATACCAATATAGAGGAATCAGGCAAGCAAGAACCTCAGATAAGGGTATCACCAACCAGGCCATTAGATTTCAGACCTAAGAAAAAGAATATTGGACCAGCCTTAATATACCAAAGACAGATTACAGGCCTTCTAAGCTATCTGGATTGGGAGTCTAAGAACAAAAGCAAAGGTATACTAAAAGTACTATAGATATGCTGTAAAGTCAGTATTAGGATCTAGGTGAACTTTGTAAAAGTAGCTTTTGTTAGTGTTTTAAAAGTAAGTAGATAGTTAACAATAGGACTTCTCTGTGCCTTACTGGCAGGTAATATACTCAGAAATGTGTAACAGTCTAAAAACTAGTATAAAAGAATAGGCATTATACTGCTCAGATAGTATACTAGTTAGGTATATACAGAGGGTTAGTTGAAATTACATCATAACAGAGCAGATGATCAGAGAGTTTAAATAGATAATCTTTTAATAGGTTATAAGTACAGCATCTAGTATAAAGCCTTAAAGTAGATTATTTAAATAAGCAATCAAAAGTTGTATATGTTATTTGTTGAACTTTTATCATTATAAAAATAGTTGTAATAACTAACTTAATAAAAGTCAATAAAGTATTACCACAAAGTATGGCCTTTAATACAAAAAAAAAAAAACTTTGTTGAATTATTAATCTTAAAAAAAAATTCTTTAATAAACTTACAACTTAGTATTCAGCTCTTGCATACATGAATAAAACTTTCTGGATTGTATTCTTACAAGCTAAGCTATTACAAAACTTACAAATTGCTAAGTCATTTTGCAACATAGCTAATATCCAAATCAACCCTTCTAAATCTATTTTTATAACCAACACTCCATTACTTAATTACATTCTATTACTTTTAATAACTATATACTTCCTATACATTCATCTCAAATATCTTTTAAATTTCTTGGCTGCTGATTTACATTCAATAACAAATATTCTCAACAAATTTAACTCATTCTTAATAAATTTAACAGCTTATCAAGATTGCTAGTTCTAAATGTATTACTAATACACAAGCATGTTATATCATTAATACTGTTATTAATTTAATAATTGAATATTATCTTCACAACATTGTTTTTAGCCAAGCTATTTGCAAAAATATTCTTATCTATCATATTGGTCTTGTTAAGTAAAAAGCCAAACTTAATCACACAATTTCTACTAGCATTCTTTTTTATTCTAAACTATACAACATTCACAATATTTGAAATATTCAATTACAACATTATATTTTCAATTATATTAAGTGGCTTAATAATTATAAGATACTTGAAACTAGCTGTTATATCCATCTTTAGCAATTACAAAATAATCTTTAGTCTTATAAAAATATACTTTGTCATCTTAATTCTTTAATAGATAGTTTAAACAAACAATTAGTTTTAAAATTATTTAGCTTTTTACATATTTAAGTTTATCTATTAATCTCAATGCTGTTTATAATATTCTCTATACAGCTATTACAGACACTACTTCTTTGAAATCTATATTATCTCTATATTCCAAATATTCTAACTTTAAAAAACAACTTTATTAGCATTATATACTTTTTCTTGATCAACTGATTATATATAATAATCTATATCTTCTTAACTAAAAACATATTTCTCTCAGAATTTATAAAATTTCTAAAAACAGAAAACCATTATGGTTTGTAACTCCTGCAAATTTTACAACAAGCTATTCATATTATTAAACTCTTTATTATTATTTTCAACTTTTAGAAATCAACTTCTTTAGTTATACTGCAAAACATTTTTACAAACACTTAAAGCCTAGCTTATTATTACACTTAATAATCAAATAATGATAGACAACGTCTGTAAACAACCAACCCCATTAAGTCAGGTTCTTATTACATATTAGCATAGTAATATTAAGCTAAATGTAATTCAGTTATATCCAATATCTGCAATTACTATCAAACTATGCACTAAATATAACTTCAATTCTAAATTTATTATTTTTAAAGATATTATTTTTATTCTTATCAATCTTGTTACTAAATTTTTTGGAAAATTTAATACACAAAACAAGCAATTAAACCTTAAAGTTAACTATCTTGATTTATATTACTTTATTACTATTTAATATTTTATTCAAACTTCTATCTCTTATTATATTTATATATCTACAATACTTGTTTTATTAGTTTTTGAAACTAGTAGTATTACTAATACTCTTTATCTAATTGCCAACTTTAACTATAACCAATCTGAACTTCACTTTTATACTAATGATTTAGTTATACAAATTGGTATATCTTAATGCTCTATGGGTATTGAATATATCCTAATATAGAACAACAATATTGTATATAGTTTCAAGTACAGACCAAGTTCTGGTTATGTTTTTTTAAAACAAAAATTACTATAATTCTTTTTGCTCTTAATACAGTACCTAGAAACTGTAACATTCATATTTATATTAACTCACAATCAATTATATTCAAATATAACAATACTAACTTAATACTCCTTAAATTATTATTTATTAATACTTTATATCATTTACTCTGATATACACTAATTAACTTTATAAACTTTTATAATATTCAATTTATTTTTCACAAAGTTTCTGAACATCAGAACAATGAATTTAATAACCTTGCCAATTTTCTTATTTACAACTATTTTAATCTTCTATATCTAATCTTTAACTCTCAAAACAACTATAATACCAATTATATACTTAAATTTGACAACTATTTTATTAAATTATCTATTTGTTACAGCATTTATACAATATAACATGCACATATTTATGCACTTTGGTTATCCCAAAACTGCTTTTAAAAATGGTTACAAATTCTAACTCAAATTAATCAAAAAGCTACCTGATTTTATATTAACAATAACTAAAAGATAACAAACTATTCACATAACTTTTAAACATATTTTCTTAAGTTATTCTATATAAAAATTCTTATAGATGACCTTTCAACTTTACACAATCTATACAAATACAATTATATTAAATTACCTAATTATTATCAATGCAATTAAATAAGTACTTACTTTATTGGACTATTTGTCTATCTTCAAATCTTTTCTATAACATTATTAATGATTTATTTAATACTTTTATTTTTGATGTATTACTAGAAACTATATCCAACTTATATAGTCTAATTAAAAACCTTGATTGTATAGAATTCTATAATATATCTAACTTTACATCTCTGTTATTAACCTTAACTGGTTTAGTTCCATATAACCTAATTAATTCAATTAATAATATTATTTTATCTACTAAAACTGCTACTATACTTTCTATTAAATTTCTGCTTCATATTAATTAACAAATACATTCTCAAATCTGGATACCTTATTGTGCTTCTAGACTTCAATCTAGTAGACAACCTTAATCCTTTTTAATATTATACACTTCTTGAAATTTACTAAGTTAACAAACACTTTATTTAATTGCCTATTCAAAAATCAAAACTTGGTACCCTAAATGGATCAAATATCAAATAACCCTCTTATTATAATTACAAATTCTGAAATCTAGGTAAGTCTTGACCATTTTGGTAAGGTTAAGTTACAGATAACTTGTCTAAGCTTCTAATATTAATATCTAGTAGATATAAAATTCAAATATAAACTTCTTCTGTATATTTACTTGTAAAAAGTTTAACTAAGTTTAATAAAAATAAATGCATAACCTCATCTTAATATTTAAAAAAAATTATATAAGATCAAGTTTCTTAATTTATTACATCTTTCATATATAAACTATCAGAATTAAACTCAACATAATTGTTAAAAGTTTTTTTATTTAATAATAATAATATTTATATTATAAAATAAAAAAAATTATATGAATGTAATCAAAATAAATAATATACATGTAGAACTGTAAATAAAGCAAGTAAAAACAAGATCTATATTACAAATATTAATAAATCTGAACATAATATTAAAATGTATATAAAAATATATAAATATAATATATAAATATAAAAAAAACAATGTTACAAGAAAGAATTGTATCATTTAACTTGCTAGCAAACAATAAATTGATTTAATCTTGAACTTTTTTTAATAATGATAAAAATCATTTCACCCTAACAAGCAAAAATAAGCAAAAACAAGTTATAACTTGTATTTGTTATATTTTATCAAATTCATTTTTAGCACGTTAACATTTTTTATAAAATTCATATAATGTATATGATAGACAAAACCGGTAATATCAGAAATAAATCAATTAGAAAACAAGGCATGACTTTAAACCTAAAATGCTTACTTAAAATTTTCTTTACAAAAAAAAAATGGAAGGAAAGCACATACACAAATACAATGTCATACGGCAAGCAAATATCGCTTCCTTTTTTAGCATTGTTCGGGTACACAAAATCACAAGAATTGATAATCAAATCAAATGCCCAGAATTGCACACTTGCATAAAAACATACTCTACGTCTTTGTACTCTGTTACTGGTATACTCTACGTACTTTATACTCCGTTCCTGGTATTAATATTCTAATTAAATTGTGACATCTCGTTATCTAGTGATCAGAATAGCGTAATTTCGGCACTATTGGATTAGACGAATCCGATAGTGACGAAATTACGCGATCCTGATCACTAGATAACAAGATATCACACAATTTACTTTGAATATTACTGTATTAATTGGTATAACTTTATGAATTTGACTGTCAAAATGTGAGAATTTGATTGGCTATATGTACAAATTTGATTGTTCATTTGTACTTGTACGAACTTTGTATGCGAAACCTGTAAATAATGTGTATTACAAGTGCATTGTCATCGGTTACATTTCCACCGTAACAATATAAATTAGGGTAACTTAAAATAAGGGCCTAGAAATCAAAATAATTACAAATATACAATATCGTTTAAACCGGTTGTAACTCTATTACTATCACTATTCACATAATTTATTTAAAGCTATTCTTTATTCTATTCACGAATTCATAAATATAAAATTTTAATTATGTCTAGTCGATCAAATATAAAACCAAGCGTAAGGAATGTGGTGGCAAATGTTGTTTCAAATAGTGCGGAGGCAGTAGGTTCATACGTACCATTTTTAAATGCATTAAATGTTCTCGTTAGAGAAGTTAACCAAATTTACGAGAATGCGGAATGTAATAAAGAAGTTTGTTCCATTATGTTGGAACGAGTAAAAATTGCGGAATCTGCTGTAAGAGGAATGTTAGAAAGAAACGAAAGTGAAGAGTATTATCAAAAATATCGGTTGTCTTTTAAAAGATTTGAAAATAATTTGATAAATATTAAAGAATTTACCAATAAAGTGTCAAAACTCGAAGGTTTTAGAAGATATCTTAACGCAACAGAAATCAAAAAAACTTACGACAAATTAATAAAAGAATACAACACATCTATGAGTGATCTAAATTTTACTATTATAGTAGCTAATGAGGGTGAAAACCGGCAAGTCGAAAAATCCCTAAAGGACTTTGAAAAAGTATGCATATAATTATTTAAAATTATACTCATATTATGTTAATATTAAAAGTTCTTTTCGCTATTCAACCTTAGACCCTAAAGAAATTTGGTGATCAACTTGATATGGTAGCTCAAAGTGTGAATATTTTGAAACATTCTGACAATGCAGATGTACAAAAAATCGATCCAAATGAATTGAGTGAACCTTTTGTTTTAAAAGACCAAGACTATCGTGGTTCAGAACCTTATCCTGTTATTAAGAAATTTTATAAACGCTCTATAGAAGTTGCATGCAAACCCACCAGAGACTCCGTATATTCTAAAAGTGAATTAGCAATTCTTGGAAAATTAGGTCAATCACCATACATTCTTCATTTTTATGGTCTCTCAAATGTTGATAATCGTGATGTTATGATTTTTGATTGGACTAAGTATGGTACTTTAAAAGAGCTTTATAATAATTACTGTATTCCATGGACCAGGAAAATACAAATTATTCGAGACATCTGCCGTGGTTTTGTGTATTTACGTAGTGCAAATATTTTGCATCATGATGTTAGATGCAAAAATATTTTTGTACGTATGACTTATTATAAGAACAAATGATATTATATTTGTTGTAAGTGAGAATGGAGTTTAAACAGACTTGGAATTTTTAAAATTTTAGGGTTGGGTGAGGTTTGTTAAAGAAATTCTACCCTAAAATTCTAATTTTATTAAGATATTCCAAATCAACTTAAATTAGTTCTCACAATATTAATATTAATATTTAAAATTATAAATATACATGTATTAAATTGCAGATATCGCATACCCTGGACCCAAAGCTTGGAAATTTTGGATGCGCTCGTCCTGCAAATGCTGAATCTAGAAATCTTGCTGATCTAGCGACTGATATTGTTCATTGGATGGCACCTGAACAAATAGATAAATATAAAGCCGAAAGATATAAAGAAAAAAGATACACATTTAATAGTGAAATTTACAGGTATTAATGATTTAGTTTTATATGGATTATTTATATTAAGATTCACATTTATAATTTCTTACAATTAGTTTAGGAATGCTTATCTGGGAACTTTGTTATGAAAAAATCCCTTATAATGGTTGGGATATCAAACAAGTATCGGATCATGTTCTAAGTCGTAAACGAGAAGAACTTTTACTTGGAAATTTTAATAATCATGATGACAATAAAATTCAATCAGAATTTATTGAAATAATTCATAAAGGTATTTTATTAAGTCTATTTTCTATTGATTGTGTTTGATATTTATATTGTATTTAATTTTATATTTAATCTGGGAATAGCATGGATGCATCAACCATATGAACGAATACCTATTGATAAGTTACAGCAAAAACTTGAAGAATTGGCTGAAATATATCCAATTCCTGATATTGCTTGCGTGTCTTTGGACAAAAAAACATATATAAATGAAATAAATACTATGATATCCAAAAATTCAGAATTTGAACGCATGCCTGAAAAAGGCATGTCATATGTTCCTCTTTCTCTTGAAGAAGGAATCAGGCTTCATCAAAGTAAAGATTACGAAAAAGCGTGGCAATGTTTTGTTGAAAATGCTAATCTCGGCAATCTAAAAGCAAAATATTGGCAAGGATATTATTTATATTACGAGTATAATGTTGTAAAACAAGATATCGAAAAGGCAAAACAACTCTATAAAGAAGCTGCCGATGGTGATCATCCTGATGCACAATATCGATACGCTGCTTTGTTGATTTCTGATCTTAAAAAAGAAGAAAACGAAATTAATAAAGAGGATAACTGCATAGAAATTATACATTATTTAAAATTAGCAGCTGAGAGTAAGCACATTGACGCAATATATTGTTTGGGTGATGTTTATGCAAACGGAAAACTTCATGTGAAGCAAAATAAAGAACTTGGTTTAGAGTATTTAAGAGTAGCGGCTAAAAATAATCATCAAAAAGCAATAGATCTATTAAAGGAATTGGATTTAGCATGATTAAAGATCCATTTTATTGGCCAAATCTGATCTTTAATTGATTAAAATTAGAATTAAATTCCAATTGGCTCATATCACAAACATATCTTTTAATAGAAGCGAAAATACAAGAAATCTCTAAATACACCTCCACTCAACATAAGTTTAAAATTATATGCAGTGTTTTTTTCTTTTATATGCTCATAAATAATTTTCAAAATATTTGAAGTTTTTTTTAATATGTATTTATTAGTTTTTTTATATGCATTTATTATTAGTTTGTTTAATATGTATTTATTACAAAATTGTACCTCGTCCAGTAGTATTGATAAAGCGTCACAAATAAATAATAAATTGAGTAAAGTTTAATGTATTTTAATTCATATAATAAGCGCGTCAAGTGTAGTAATTTCCAAAATCTATGCAATAAAAATGTCAAAAAGCAAAATTAACTATTATATTTGTTCTATCATAATTGTGATAAAAGCTCTAAAGATTTTAGAAGTCTATCTAGCTTGGCAATAAAAAAGGCATCTATTAAAGAAAGTCTTCTTTCAAATCATTATTTACTACCAAGTTATCAAATTTGTAATTTTTATTATACAGTTATTGTTAAAAATCAGTTACTTACACTTGTGCTTGCACAAAATGAATTCTATAATAAAGCATCTATTTTAAAATTACCAATTAGTCTATTGCTAAGTATTTAAATTAAAATAATAACAAACATATTATATATTGCCAGCTCAGAATTCAGTGAGTCTGTTGCTAACCTACTTTAATTTTTATATAACCAATAATAGGTAATCTTATAAAAGAGGTGTTAGATTTGGTTAGTAGGTGATTAAGGTTTTGGTTACTTGGAATAGCAAAGTTAGGTAGAGTATATACATGATCAAAAACTTAAATAAATAATAATTTTATAAATTTATAAAGTTTATACTAATAATAGTATTAATGTAATATTATAAACAATATATGTAATTTAATGATAGTTACTAGTATATTGTAAGTATATTGTTGAAATTGTTAAGTTATAAAAAATTATAATAATGAATATGTTTTAGAAAGAAGTTAAGTGTTTGTGTATATAAAAATAAAGACAGGTTCAGACATGTTAACCATTAGTTATAGCATAAATCTGAATAATATAATGTATTATAAGATGGAATTTATAGTGTTTTCTTAATGCAAGATTATAAAATAAAATTCAAAGAAATAGAAGGTTCTTTTGTATATTTGCTCATCATATGATTGATTTTAACAGCTGCAAAGAGTGTTATAGCCTGCTCTGTACATTGAGTTTGGTTATTATTATCTTGGTTCTCTGCATAAATGGACTTAACCATCTGTTTACTTATATTACTTTCTTCTAGAAATGATTTTTATTCAATAAAAGACATTAAAATATTAGAATAAGTAACTGTATTTATATGTATTAAAGATTTTATTAAAAAAAAGTTTTTTTTTATTTTTTAAGAAGAGTAATTTCTTAATTAAAGTAGGTATTTTAAATTTAATATTGAATTTGTTATATAAAATTGTTTTAGCCTTAGATAAGATTATGTTTTTATAAAATTTGATAATTTCTAAGTAATTTGAAGATTGGTTTTGAAAAAAATCAAAATATATAATAATCCAGATTAGAAAATAAGTATTAATAAGTTTGGTTATAAGAAAATTAACAGCTTGTTATCTGTTTATCTTGTTAATATTATAGTTTTTAGTAGAAGTATTTTAGTATATAGTTAAATATTAATAAAAATAAAAACTATGTTGTTTAGAATTAGTTTAATAACATTAGAAGAGCAAATATATATTTTTGTTTTTGTTACTAATTCATTCAAAATTAAGATAAAAATTTGTTTAATAAATGTAACTTCATGTTTTTCTATGATATAAAATATGAATGTATCAAGAAATAATTTATTTTATATTTTACTATCTTCTTTAGAATAAGTAATATAAGATGTTTCAAATATGTTTTTGATAAGTGCAGATAAGTTGTAAATAGATTATAGTTTAAAGTTTGTTTTTTGATTAGTATTAGTATTTTTTGTTTTGTTTTTTATATTAATTAGTTTAAAGTAAAAGCATTGAGAATTAAAAATCATTACATATAAGTACATAATAATTAGTATGTTTAACAATTTTATATAATATCTTTCTTATAAATTAGTTAGTTTTATGAATTTAATATTTATTGATAAGAGATTTTTAAGATAAAAGATATTGAGGAACTCTTTCTGCAAATCCTTTACACAAATCTTAACTAAAAATTCGTTCGTACAAAAACGTTTATAACTATTTATTTTACTAAGTTAACTTGCTTTTGGCTCTTAAGTAAACTTGTTCAGTACTAAATTTT